GCCGGGTTCCCCCCCCCAGCCAGTGGTGTTACCCCAGAGCCAGCAGCATAGAAACCAGCCAGGTACCCCCACTATGTCACACCCGGCACTCGGGTCTGACCTGGCGCCAGCGACCCGAGTGCACCAGCTTCCGTGTGGGAGGCACCTAGTCACTCGCATGCCTCCCTGGCGCCACACAGGCCTTGGCACCAGTCCCAATCCCTGCTGCCCCAGAAGAGGAGGAGATCTAGCTGGGGCAAGTCTCCCTAGAGGCACGTGCCATCTGGCAGGGCACGTGGCACCGGAACATCGCAGTCGGGTTGGCGCTGGCTCCAGCTGTTTGGTGAACCTCGCGGGGCCCTCGACTCTGGATACTTTTGAGGCAGCAAGATTGAGCCCTGACTTCGGCACCGGGCCCGGCAGAGGAGTGCAGTGCCTGGAGGCACCGTCCCACAGCTCCGAATGCCCCGTCCCCAGACACAAGACGACATTGTGCTACCCCAGTGCCAGGTACGGCACTGGCCTTGGCTCCCACCCCAAGCCGTGCACCAGCACTGGAATCGGCACCAACGCAGGGACTCTGTCCGGCTCTGACCCTGGTTTCGGGCCCTCTAGCCGCTGGCACCTCAATGACAAGTGGACCAGAACCGCCTCCTGCCAGGCCCCCGCCTCCCACTCAGCACCGAGGGAAGCTGAGTCCAGGCCAGGCACGGTCTGAGCTAGAGGCTGCCAGTCTCTACTGCCCCCGCACCGCCCTGGTCGACCTCAGAGTATTCAACTGATTCGGAGGCAGAGTCAGTCTGGTCATTGTGGGGCTACAGGTCAAGGCCATGGCACTGGTCTGTCTTCTGTTGAGGATCTCGGCACCGGAGATGTCTGCACAGCAGCAGGGCCCTTCCTCAGACCAGGTGCTGGCCCACATCACCCTGGTGCGAGACCTTTTCTGGGAATTGCAACTTGTTCTGAACATGGCCAAGTCTACCCTGGTCCCCACCCAGGTTACAGAGTTTGTGGATGCCCACCTGGACTCTACATCAGCCATGGCCTCTTAGAGAAGCTGTCATGGCCATGCAGGCCTTTCCGATGACCACAGCCAGGAGCTACCTGCATTTACGAGTCAGCTCGCCAGACTTTGCATGCGCCCACTGCAGTTGTGGCTGGCGCAGACTCACAACCCATCCCTCCATTCTTGGTGACGGTTCTTCCGACATCCTCTGCTCCCTGGACTGGTGGACCCAGGCGTAGGTCTGGCCAGAATCCCGTTCTCCAAGCCCCGCCGACCCTTTGGTTAGTGACGGGTGTCGGAGCTCACGTTGGCGACATGCAGCTCCAAGGTATGTGGTCGCTGGAGGATCTCTCCCTGCACATCCATGTCAGGGAGTTGCAAGCAGTCTGCCTCGCCTGTCAGGCCTTTCTCCCCCAGCTCAGGCAGAACAGTCCTTATCCTGTCAGACAACACTCAGCAGTCTCCTACATTAACAGGCAGGGCGGGGCCCGTTCCCCTCCCCGTGTCGGGAAGCCTTTGGGAGCTGTGTCTCGGGGTGGGTATTCACCCAGTTGCCGCCGACTATCTGGGGTCTGCCAGAGTGTTTTGAGACCAGCCGACCAGGGCCTGCCCCAGCCACGGGTGGTCTCTCGAGGGATGTGGCCCTTCGACTCTTCCGCAGGTGGGGGTTTCCCCTCTGGGCCTGTTTGCAACCTCCAAGAGCAGGAAGTGCCCCAGGTTCTGTTCCCTTTTGGGGCTGCATCACCCCCTGGCCCGAGGGGCTTCTTTATGCATTCCCACTGGTACACAAGTGCTCCTGCAGGTTTGGGAGTTCAGGGTGTCTCTGATTCTCGTTGTGCCGGCGTGGCCCAAGCAGCACTGGTTCACGTCCCTCCTGAGCCTGTCCTGCGAGAAGCTGGTCGCTCTCCCACTGGACCTGGATGCGGTAACACAGGACTGCAGCAGGCCCTGGCACCCGAACCTTCAGTCCCGGCACCTAATGGCCTGGAAGCTCCATGGCTGACAGTGGCAGTGCTGCAGTGCTCAGAGCGTGTGCAGGGGGTCCTGCTAGGGAGGAGGAAGCCATCCACTAGGGCCACCTACCTGGCTGAGTGGAAGCACTTCTGTATCTGGGCTACCTAAAAAGGGATCTCACCTCCAGATGCCCAGGTCCCGCTGGACTACCCACTGGATCTCAGGGTCCCAGGGCTAACCTCCTCGTCAGTTAGGGTGCACCTAGTGGCTATCTCCGCTTTTCACCTTGGCTCAAGGGGCAAGATTCTCTTTGTGGCCCCCATGGACCATCGGTTTCTGAAGGGGTTGGACAGGTTTTATCCGCATGTTCGTCAGCCCGTCCATCAGGGACCTCAACCAGGTCTTGACCAGGCTCAGGGGGCCTCATTTGAGCCTCTGTCGATGTGTTCGCTGCCCCACCTTTCCTGGAAGGCCTCTCTCCTGGTGGCTATCATGTTGGCCAGACGTGTGTCCGAACTGAGGGCTCTCACCTCAGACCCCCCCTTATACAGTTTTCTTCAGGGATAAGGGCCGGTTATGGCGTCATCTTGCCGAAGGTGGTGTGTCACTTCCATGTCTCCTAGGACATTTTTCTCCCCCTTTTTTTGCCTCAAGTCCCATTCCTCAGGAAAGTAACAGGCTTTACGCACTAGATGTTAGGAGAGCACGAGCCTTTTATTTAGACAGGACAAGTCCCCACAGTTGTTTGTGGGGCAGCCGGTCTCCTTGCAGAGGGTCTCCTCTTGGATAACTTCCTGTATCAAGCAGTGCTATGGTCTGGCTGAGGTGCCAGATCCCTCCCTTACAGCCCACCCCACCCCACTAGGGAACAGGCCTCCTCTACGGCCTTCGTGGCCAGGTCCCTATACCGGACATTTGTAGGGCTGCTCCGTGGGTTTCAGTCCACGCCTTTGCCAGTCATTGTGCACTGGCTCCCCAGGGTAGGGCTGTCCTCCGCTCAGTTGGCGGTTAGGACTCCACCCCCACCTCCTGGGGTTTCTGCTTGGGAGTCACCCACATGGAATGCACATGAGCAATCACCCGAAGCAATAAAAGCGGTTACTTCCCTTCGTAACTCTTGTTGTTCGAGATGTGTTGCTCCTGTCCATTCCAAATCGTGCCCGCCTCCCCTTCTTTGGAGTAGTCCTGTAAGAAGGAACCGAGCGGGTAGAGGGCCAGTGGAGGTGTATGTCGGCCGATATAGTGGTGCCACTCCGGAGGGCTTCCCTGCTGGCCCAATGGATACTGCTAAGGGAGAAACTTCCAGACATGTGCACGGAGCATGCAAACACCTACATGGAACAGACATGAACAACGTATCTCGAAGAACAGCCGTTACGAAGGTGTTACAAGGCAGGGAAGAATTTCCACAATAACATAGATCAGGGGACCAGCAAGGCAGTCTGGTGGAAGTGAAATGCTCTGGACTGCTACTCAGGTGAGCCCCAGCAAATCAGCCCAGGTGCAGTGCTAAGAGCTTGAAACGAGCTGTCTTCTGTTCTTGGTTTGAACATCCTCCTCGCAATAAGCATCTAGCCATCTAACAGGGTCAAATCCTTTTTCAGTTTCCCCATTCACACATTGCTGATTTTTCAGCAACGGATGTGGTGTTGGCAGGTGTTGGGCAAGGGGTGGCCAGGTGTCGGGGAGCATCTTAACACGGCTTCGCAGGGGTAGCCATGTCATCTGTTTCAGCAAAAGCGACGAGGAGCCGTGTTCCCTGTAAGCTGAGCTCGTGGGTGGCCACTCAGGAAAGATTCACATGTTGCCTTGCTGGTGAGCAGGGCACCCCCAGTGTGTGTTCCTGCTGCAAGTGCGCATCTGGGGGACCATTGACGAGGAGTTCTGTGGCCCCTTAAAGACTAACGCGTTCATTTGGGCAGAAGTTTTTGTGGGTGGGAGCCCACTTTGTCAGATGCTGGAAGGGGCCAAACTGAAGTTTCCACCCACAAATCTGTTAGTCTTTAAGGTGCCACGGGACTCCTTGATGTTTTATCACAGTGGTTATTCCCGAAGGCCTGACCTGATCCTTTGCTCAAATCTCTGATCAATCCAGGGTTTGAAATAGTGCAGTAAACTTGGTCGTTCTTTGCATGCACTTGTGTGCACCCTAGTTTTGCTCAGCAGTTCTAGGACTTCTCCTGGACGTGTGCATCTCAGCCCAAACCAGGAAACCCTAGAAATCTTGCCCTGCTCCTTTTTCTTGTGAGTTTTCCAGCTAGAAGGGATGTGGATGAGCATTGAAATCAGGGGAATCGTCTTTGGGTGGGGGCCGCTGACCCACATCAAAGTCAGTTGGGGGCTGCACACAAGTAAGAAGCAAAACCAAACCCTCACTGACGTGGCCCCCGACTGATACGCCCCCACATTTCCCTCCCACACCAGAGCCTGGGGGGCCGGCCTAGTAGATTGTGTGCTCTAGCCCCACGGTGGGGCAGCAGGGGAGCCCCAATGCTGGAGTGGGGATTGAGCTTCAAGGGCCGGATCCAGGCAAGCTGGGCGCCACATCGGGCCCTTCGGCCTGAGGTTCCCAACCCCTGGTTTAAATATTAGTCTGTCTGAGCCTCTTGAGCTTTGTCCTTCTATGGAAACCAAAAGTTCTTTAGTCAAGAATCCAACATGTCCTGCTGTTCTATTCCCGTCCAGTGGTTCCTGGCTTTCCCAATGGCCATTCCTGGTTAGAGACCCAAGGCCATAGCTCCATTGGGGGATAGTGGCTGATCTGTTACCACCACCTTTGTGTTGCAGCAACGTGGTGGAGAAATGTGTCACTCACGCCTCACGCACAGAGCGTGCCATGCTGATCGATGAGGTGTGCACTATGAACGACGGCCCTCACAGTGCCTTATACACCATGATGAAAGACCAGTATGCCAACTACGTGGTACAGAAAATGATTGATGTGGCAGAGCCCGCGCAACGGAAGATTGTCATGCACAAGGTGAGTAGCTGCTAACCCTGGGGGGTGCTTGGGCATCATCGTAGATTTTGGAGTGTGTAGCATGAAGATGTAAGTGGGTAGATTAGAGCACACCTGTCCAGCTGCCTACACACTGAACTGCTTCGTGCCAAGCAGTGAGCTTCCCTAGTGGTACCCTCGAAGACAGATTCATTAATTGGTAGCACTGAGAAATCCCCCTGATAAAGCACAACGGGGAGTGAGCTGGGTATGGCTTTGATGGGAGCATTTTCACAAATCATGAGTGTTGGGAGGCAGCCCCGAGAACCTGGAAGTACTCCCCAAAAGCTGGTGTCTCAGGCCTGTGTGGATCTCTCTGGAGTGACTCAGACTTGGGACTGCCAGTGGTTTCTCCACCCTGGCAGTCACACCATGTACATGCTCAAGCTCATCCAGCGTCCTGACCAGTCCTTTCTGGCCTAGTTACGTGCACGTGAACATGGGGACTTGTAACTGGTGGCTGTAACAAGCCTGCTGCAGGGGTTAGAACTCGGGCCCGTTGCAGAGGTCTGGCGATGATGACACACTTGCCCTCACTGAGAGTGCTGCTCAGTGACGAGACTCGCACTGTGTACTCCAGAGCTGAGCCAGACTTGCTGGAACAGTCGAACCCCCGAGCAAGAGCCCTGCCCGGGACTTGTAAGAACTGCCACCGTGTTTGCCATATTCCACTGCAGCAGTAGAACTGCAGCTCCATAGATGACCTTAAAATCTGAATGTGACATTTATGCTATGCAGTGTGTCATTACTTCTTTTTGAAATATGCAGCTTCCCCTGCCCTTTTAAAGGTGGGGTCAGGTTAATTCCTTTTAAGCCAATTTATTTTCTTCTTAGTAGAAACTCCTTAGATTCATAAACTGAAAACTTAATTTTTGCCTCCTGTCTTCAGTTACAGTTTGCTTTCTGCATTTCTTAGAGCTAGGTGATACGTTAGTCTAGTGTTTCGCAATTGCTGCTCCGCTAAGTGAAAGAAAGGGTTCTGCGAGAACGTGGCACTCCCCGCCTCCTCTTAAAGAGACAGATTTTCTTCTTAGTAGAAACTCCTTAGATTCATAAACTGAAAACTTAATTTTTGCCTCCTGTCTTCAGTTACAGTTTGCTTTCTGCATTTCTTAGAGCTAGGTGATACGTTAGTCTAGTGTTTCGCAATTGCTGCTCCGCTAAGTGAAAGAAAGGGTTCTGCGAGAACGTGGCACTCCCCGCCTCCTCTTAAAGAGACAGAGTCTATTTT